AACCTTAATTAATTGTAATAAACCATTAACTTTAATAATAGAAAAGTTCAGGAAAAAGAGAAAGATCATAATAAAGTAATCGTGGAATGAAGCGTGAGTTATGATAAAAATAAAAATATTGTAGTCAAAACTCCCAAGCTTATTATAAGTCAACTTCGAATAAATTTAACAACTCTATTCATGTTAATCCGTAACAGTCACGAAAAAGGTAAACATGGCGTAAAATAAAAGAGGAAAGTAAGAACTTGAAATGCAAGAGGCAATAAAAAATAATTCTGTTGATTAAAGCACGCGACAAAAATATGTGTACGCTACTGACAATAATGATTTTTTTTCTTTGTATAGTTGAAACAAAGAAAACATTCCACGCAATATATAACATTTTAAGCTTAACCACACGAAAATTATATTAAAAAAAGCGAAATAAGAACCTTAGCGGTTTGATGAAACGGTTGAAACAAAAAATTCACCTTTCAAGTACATTTAATCATTGAAAAGATTTAAGTAAAATAACGAAGTACAGAACATAAATAAGCAATATACAAATAAGTAATTATGGAATATATGCCAACGAAATAAACCTTAGTTCATTATTAAAGTGAACATGTTCTGACGTGTATTAAGTGAATGAACTTTACAACTAAATACCAAGTTTAAAAAAAAAACATAAATAAACAAATTAATTATTATGGAATTTACCCAAACAAAACAAAAAACTGTTAATTATAACATTATTAAAGTAAAAATGTTCTGACGTATATAAAGTGAGGCTAAAATTAACTTTCCAACTTTGTTCGTGAAAACGTTGGTTAAAGATTAGGGATGGCAATATATCACATATATATTTCTACATATATCGAATATATTTTTATAGATATATTTGAGTAATATACTTGAAATATATCGATATATTCGTTGTTTATTTACGATAAAAATTAATTTACAAAAGCGACTATAATTTTTCTTATTTATTGTTGGATAAATAATTTTAAAAATATCCCTGTCAGTCCGTCAAATTGGATTAGAGATTGTCGTCTGATGTGAGACATGTATATATGTATATAATTTTAATCGTGTCTAAACCGTGGTCCCTGGGTGAACCATATCATTCCGCCTTCTGCGTCGGCATCGGTGTCTGTATCTACGTTTCTGCGCACTATTTTCAAACACATTTTTATGAGAACACATTCCCCGGGAAAAAGTCAAAAAAAGTTGTTTGGAAATATTTTAATGCACCGGGAAAAAGTAAAAAGTGACAAGTTGTAAAACATACTCGAAAGGTCTTAATTTTTATAACCTTAATCTATTTTATTTTATATCTTTTTTTATTACTACTTAATAAGAATTATATAATTATTCATGTCCAGAGTATATTTTTACCGTTACTAATATCGTTCTTTTCTTCCAGTTGGGCTTTCTCATATGGATATTATAAAACAGTTGTAATGTACCAAAAATTAAATATAACGATATATCGATATATTTTTCACGATATATCGATTTTCACCGATATATCGATATATAGATTAAAGATTCCCATCCCTATTAAGGCTCACGGAAAGTATAAATTTCGGTAAATAAAATAGCTTTAATGCAGGTAATCGGAATTAATCACGAGGTAAAATTATAAAATGTACTTAATATAAAAATCGTTTGCACATAATGAACACAGATGGAGAGCATAAAATTTAGATTGAGGTTATCAAATTATCACCGTTGTCGGTCGCATTAAAATTATAATACATAGAACTTTCCGAGTACCGCAAGCGCTCGAGTTCAACAAACGATTTTCCGAGAGGGGGCGGGTTATTGATGAGGCTTGCCGGCGGCACAAACATATTCGCAATTTGTTAAAGAGCTTGAATGAACTGTATAACGTGAAGGGGGGGAGGGAAGAGAATTCATTATTCATTTTGTAAAATGTTAAATCCTCCTTTAATAAACGGTGTGCGAGGAGGGAATGTTTTTTTAAAAGGATACGCAAAAGGTAAAAACACGATCCGGCACGGTTGGCCGAGGCAGGAGAGAGCGGCCTTGTGTTCGGAGAACTAGGGGAAAGCCATCGCAAATCCGGCTTGCAGAACACAATCAACAACATGGAGGAATGTAATTCTTGAATACTCTCAAGTTATAATGCAGAGCTGACAAACACGCCTTATCGCATTGAAAGTCACATTTATTTTGTCATTCTGGAAATCGTCTACACTTTACATTTATGTCTTTTGAATAAATGATACCTCAGATAAATTAGAATTTATACTAAACCCCCCGGCTATTTCTAGCGCTGTAATATTTCCAGGGAATTTTTAATGATGGGAATTCCTGACCTCTCTTTTATCTTTAATAAAATAGAACTTTATCTGGTTGTCCCTTTCACGAGTGCAAAGTACAACGAGAGCCCCCTTCGCTCGGCCCGGAATCGTTATTCTAGAGAATCATCCATTTAAATGAGCTGCGCATTGCTTTATAAACAGCCGGAACGACGAGTGAACCACGAAAACCAATAAACTGGAAACCATTTGGCGGAAAATCTACCAATCGTATTATTAGCATTTAAAGTTCCTTTCTAACAAATTAACTCTCAGTTTAGAACAGTTGAAAACCACTTCGTTTAAATAAATAAATCAAATACATTTACATACAAAATATCACTTATTATATAAATGAAAGTATTAATTTTTGGCTTGTGATCAATCAATATTTAATTGGGATAATTAATTTATCTCTTTTTTTCTCTCTCTCACCCTCTTTCGATAAATATCAACAAGTAATTGCGCAAATCTATCTATATTTATATATGTTTTCTAACAAATGACTAAACAAAATCGATTCCACAAAATGCTACAACATTTTCTGTCCAAAATATTTTTTCTATAGCAAGGATCTAAAAGTTTATAGTTTATATAATGGTAATATTTTTTCTCTAGCTCTACTTCTCTCTTTCTTCACATTTTTATTTCTCTCACTCACTCTCTTTCGATAAATATCAACAAGTAATTGTGCTAATGTATCTATATTTATATTTGTTTTTCTAACAAATGACAAAACAATCGATTCCACAAAATGCTACTACATTTTCTGTCCAAAATATTTTTTCTATAGCAAGGATCTAAAAGTTTATAGTTTATATAATGGTAATATTTTTTCTCTATCTCTACTTCTCTCTTTCTTCACATTTTTATTTCTCTCACTCACTCTCTTTCGATAAATATCAACAAGTAATTGCGCTAATGTATCTATATTTATATATGTTTTTCTAACAAATGAAAAAGAAAATCGATTCCACAAAATGCTACTACATTTTCCGTCCAAAATATTTGTTCTATAGCAAGGATCTAAAAGTTTATAGTTTATATAATAGTAATATTTTTTCTCTATCTCTACTTCTCTCTTTCTTCACATTTTTATTTCTCTCACTCACTCTCGTTCGATAAATATCAACAAGTAATTGCGCTAATGTATTAATATTTATATATGTTTTTCTAACAAATGAAAAAGAAAATCGATTCCACAAAATGCTACTATATTTTCTGGCCAAAATAATTTCCTATAGCAAGGAACTAAAAAGTTTATAGTTTATATAATGGTAATAATATTCTCTCTCTCTCTCTCTCTCTTTTTTTTCTTCCCCTCTCTCTTTCTCTCTCACTCTCTCACCCTCTCTCTCTCTCTCTCCCTCTCACACTCTCTCTCTCTCTCTTTCTTTACCTTTTTATTTCTTTCCCCCTCCCTCTCATTTTCACACACACACACACACACACACACACACACACACACACACACACACACACACACACACTCTCTCTCTATCTCTATCTCTCTCCCTCACTCACACTCTCTTTCGATAAATATCTATATAATTGTGGTAATTCTATCTATCTATCTCATTTTTTCGTTTCAATTCAAAACAATATGCAGGCTGTCTGAAACGTTTAGCTAATAAGAATAATTTTTCTATAGCAAGGATATATATGTATACAGTTCCGTGACTGACTGACAGACAACGTACAGACCAAACTTTATCTAGAGGGCTGAATTTTCTTTTCGACAGTGCATGATGACGTGGATAGCCGCTAAGAAAGGATTTTTTGAAATTCCATCCCTAAGATTTTTTTAACATGTATAGACCGAAGTGAACTGATGAAGAGAATAATTTGGGAAACGAGACATTATATTAGAAAGCCGTACTAGCACTCTGCTTCGCATCAGAAATGTGCATTAAAATGCGTGGACGGAGTCGCGGTCAAAGCTAGTATAAATATGAAGAGATATTTCCAAAAGCCGTTTGGTACTGTTTCCTAATGTTTAATAAAAACAGATGGTCATGGAATGGTTATTGAATTTAAATTGGGGGGGGGGGGTAGCAGTTTGGAGGTGAGGAACAGCTTTAATGGTTAAAGAAGGCAATTTCTTCCCTACTTTTCATCCCGAGTGTAAACTTATTTGCCTATGGCGCTTTGAGACGGCGGAGACCGCTGAGATTTATGTCTTCTTTATTCCCTTACCTTCAGCCATTCCTAATACAACTCCACTTTCCCGGTCACAAGGGACTCAAGTTCACTATGGTATAAATTACAATTTCCTTCTTCCCTCTTGTTTTCCCTGTTCATCCCGCGTCATGAATATTGATGCTAGATTTAAAGTGACACCTATACGCGGATTGCAAATATTGTTTCAACACGGGGATGGTGGCTGGCTTTGCGTCAGAATCGACTATTATAAGCTTCGGCTTTAGACAAAAGGACGACAACAAGTGTTGTTTACAGTCCAGAGGATGAACCTGAGAGCCGAAGGCCGTCACAGGGCGCCACTCGTTTAAAAGATAATTTGAATCAAAGCCAGTCTGCATTAGACCCGAAGTTCTCGGCAACATACATTATCGGCGTTACATAACTTCTCTTCTCGTGGTGTAATCGAGAAACAAGGTCGGCACAAAAAGGCACAGTCAGTGAATTTTGCATTTATATTCAATTGAAGTAACAATTAATAGAAATCCTTACCTCCAGTTCCTAGTACTTTGAGAAGGTCGAACGAAGACATGTCAACCCTCCCATGGCCGGTGAGGTTAACTGTAACAGAAAAATCAAATAATTAGTCAAATCCGCTGATAAAAGAACACTTATTAAGCATAACATTTCTGATTTTACATATTATGATTTGTAAATATTGTTATTTTGTTTTCATTTTCCCGTCTAATCTTCATAATTGACAAAATATAACGCCTTATACAACATACTTAATAATTAATTATGTATAATTACTATAACAAAAATGTTTAATTTACACGTCTTGTTCTATGAAAAGATTTTTTTTTCGTTTTGTTACCTCGGCTAAAGGGGTGAAAAGTATGAGAAACGTTCATTCGTGGTGGTTTGCGGGAGGGGACGCTATTAGAAAATATTGCTCGATATTAGCTGGCCGGCTGCCCTAGTTTAGTTGCCCATGTCCCAGATAAGGAAAGGGATGGTCCGTCGCAAATAATCCATGAGGACCTTAAGGGGAAAATATTATCTAACGCCTTTCACCTCCTTTTCTTCGTTTGTATCTATTAAAGGGGGGAGAATACAAAAGCGCTCAATTTTAAACTGCCGCATATAGAACGGTAATTTCTTACAATTACCTTACAATTATCCGTCATATTCAACTCAATTAGATTCTGGAATAAAGTTCCACTGAGCAGATCGGATTTCATCCCAGCCAAACAAGATTGACATTCAAAAAGTTATCGAGCAAAATCTGTTTTTAATGATATATTTCATTCTCTTTTTATAAGTTCTATTTGAAAAATTACTCTAACGATTAAGCATTTATATTTAGTAAGGAAATAAATAAGTGATAAATATATATAAATTATCAACCCAATCAAAAAACGCTGTTCGATTTTTTTTATTACTATTGTTCAAAATATTGACATATTTATAATGTCATAATATATATTTATAATGACATATTTATAATGTAACGTGTGGTGATTAGTGACCGTTAATCGATATTTAATTAGAAATCGTGAGATGCGGTCTGGTGTGATGTAGGTTTCACAAAAACATTTTCTTTATCGTGCCAACGTTTCGATCTTTATTGAGATCATCTTCAGGGCCTGGGATTTACAAACATTGTTATACATTTACCGAATACATTTTGGATGTGGAAAAGTGAATTTACACAATGCAAAATATATTTTTTATATATTCAATCAAAGTATTTCTCAACACAACATGCAAGAATGGCACAATTACACAGAAAACAAACACTTTGAGCCCTGAAGATGATCTCAATAAAGATCGAAACGTTGGCATGATAAAGAAAATGTTTTTCTGAAACCTACATCACACCAGACCGCATCTCATGATTTCTAAATAAATATAATGTAACATTTATTTCTAGTAATAAGGGTTTAAATCTCGGCGGATTTCAAACTTTTCCTATCCCAGCTCAAACAACTTCTCAATTTCTCAGAGAAACTGTAGGGTATATTTTCGGTTTTAAAACTGCCTTGATAGTATTTTCTTCTTTTGATAAATTCCATAGCTAAAAAACATTACATGTATAGACGGATTTGAAAACCCCTTAAAGAATAAAATTCTGAGGAAAATTCATCTACTTAAAAAAAACGTAGAATTTTGATTAACAAACAAATAATATAATTTGTGTAAGGTGTATTTTTCATTCATAATCCTTGTTAAATAATAAATATTATCAATTAATACTATTGTTGCTGTAACTATTTTGTTTTTGTGGTTTAGATGGCTTTGAACAGTGGCAGTCGTCGAGCTTATGTCAGTTTTTCACTTACATTATGGAAATAAATATTTCCTTTTTAAATCCTAAATACTAATTCAATCAAGGGTTTTTATTTCACGTTTCATCATTTTTCATTTCATGATTGTATGGTTAAAATTTATATCGTTCCTATCTTCGTTAATTATATTATGTGAGTTGAAGGGTTTATCTTTGTTTTAACGTTTGATTCGGCAGCCTGGCTGATGTCGATAGTGATTATCAATTCAAAAATAAAATGACGATTTATTTTAAACTGGTTTCTTAACATGATGAAACAAAATGAGAAAATGAAATAATTTTATGTCGATTACTGGATAACTAAGGACATCATCCCAATGGAAGATCAAAGGGAGATAACTACAGGGAAACAATTTTTCTAGGCAAACTGGGGATGTTTTTCAGTTAATCTTTTTCCTTCGTTGATTTCATTCGATATTATTTTTATTAAATCCATTATATTTTTTGGTCCGAATGTCCAAATAACTTCTTTAAATTAATTAATTTTTATGTAAGGTATTGGTTGAATTAAAAAGTGGTAGAGCACCGGCTGAAATGAAATTGTCTATACATTATAAAAAAATTTCAAAAATAAGAATAGATTTCATAAAAAATATGTTGATACAATTCTTTCAATCCATAAAGTTGATATCACGCAAGTAATGCGAGAATGAAAAAAAATACAAAAAGATGCGGAAATAGAACAAAATCGAACTTCACCCCTTTTAGATATAAAAATAAATAGAAATGGTGACACCTTTAATACTAATATTTATCCATTATACTTAACAGAAGGTCGTGAGTTCGAATCCCGCTCGTGATACTAGCTTTTTTATTTGAACCTTTACCTTACACAAAGATTAATTAATTGAAAGAAATTATTCTTATTATTAAACGCCAGCACGGAATTGTTGTGCGAGCAAGATCTTTAACTTCACTTACAAGACATAATCGAAGAACATGCCATTTGTCCTCCCCCACATCGGTGAGAGATTCTTGCTAATGCGGGATAATGCCAGGCCCCATAGAGCACGTATCGTGAATGACTATCCGAATGAAGTTGGAATTGAGTGCTTGATGTGGCAAATTCTAAGTCTAGATTCGAACCTAATCGAACACATTTGGGATCAACTTAAGCTTTGAGTACGTAGAAGTAACCCAAGTCCTAGAAGTAGAAAAATTTGAAACCCCTATTTTTGATGAATGGGAAAAAATTTCTCAGGATTTTACCAGAAATCTTTTCCAGGGAATGTAAAGACTTTTAACTGAGGTTATCGAGTCTGAGGTGGAAACACTTGATATTAAACGAAACGAAATTTATTTTTCTTACTTAATAATTAATTTGTTTAGAATTAGGTTATGCACATTGTTTTTAAATGTATTATTTTTACAACCAAACCTAATTTTGGTACGCAAAATGTGAATAAACCAAGATACGTTAACAATTTGTTTAGAATTAGATTATACACATTTTGTTTTTAAATGTATTATTTTTACAACCAAACCTATTTTCGGTACGCAAAATGTGAATAAGCCTAGTACGTTAACATTTAAGGGCGGTGTGTTATTGGGTTGTCCGGAAAATAATGCAGGATTTTAAGTTTTCATTAAAAAAAATCTATATAAAATATTCTGTTTACGTTTACAGGATTACTCATTTGTATGAATGTCAACACTTATTAATCCTCTTCCAAATGATATTGTTTGTTTACCTCTGTAGCATTCCGCTACTTGGAAATAATTCAGTCATCCTTATAATGTCAAAGCGAGAATTTCGTACGATTTTCTTTTACGAGTTTAAACTCGGCCGAAGCGGAGCCCAAACGGCTAGAAACATTAACCAAGTCTGGGGCGAGGGTTGTGTTAATGAGTGCACTGTGCAAAGGTGGTTTAAAAAATTTCGGGAGGGAGATTTCAGCCTTGAAGATGAAGAAGGTCGTGGAAGGCCTTCCTCTCTTAATGATGATGTTCTGCGATCAGTGGTGGAAGAAAACCCCAAAACAACTGTTCGAGAACTTGCAGAGCAACTCAAAGTCAGTAAAACGACCGTCGCTGACCACCTCAAGGCGATTGGAAAAGTGAAAAAACTCGAAAATTGGGTTCCACACTCATTAAACGATCGCCAAAAAATCAGCGCTTTGATGTTTGTGCATCACTTCTTTGTCGAAACAAAAATGACCCATTTCTGGCCAGAATTGTTACATGTGACGAAAAGTGGATTCTCTACGATAACACTAGACGTTCTGGACAGTGGCTCGACAAAGGAGAAGCTCCAAAGCCCCCAACTCATCAAAAAAAGGTAATGGTTACGGTATGGTGGGCTTCATTTGGTTTAATACACTACAGCTTCTTAAATCCTGGCGAAACCATCAATGCTGAATCATACTGTAACCAAATTAATACCATGCATCAGAAATTGGCAGTAATGAAGCCCTCTTTGGTCAATCGGAAAGGGCCCATTTTGTTGCATGACAACGCTCGACCACATGTGTCACGTGTAACGTCACAAAAATTATTGGAGCTTGGCTATGAAACTTTGCCTCACCCACCCTACTCTCCGGACCTCTCGCCTACTGACTACCATTTTTTTAGACACCTGGACCACTACTTACAACACATAATATTCAAAAATCAAACGGAACTGGAAAATGCATTTATTGACTTTATCAATTCTAAAAATTCTGAATTCTACTCAGACGGAATTAATAAGTTACCAACACGTTGGGAGAAATGTATTGAGAGTATGGGAAATTATTTTGATTAAAGAACATTGCTTTAAAGTAACTAGTTTCTTTTTTTTTGTTTAATACCAAAATCCTGCATTATTTTCCGGACAACCCAATAATTTGGCCCTTCAGTGTATTATAATAAACTTTACCTATACGTTTATATAAATTAAGTTATTAAGTCTGAAGGTGCAGTGTGCTCGATTGGTTAAACTTGTGCAGGCGTTTCTAAAACAAGTGTCGGTTAAGTTTTAATACCGCAGCATAACAGCACGTCTTATGCGAGGAATTTAACTTATTTTGCAACGAAACCTTAAATCGTGAAATTGAGGTGAAAGTCATGAGTATTCGCGATTTCTATTCTTCTCGAACTATTTCCGTTAATCTAGAGAATATTTAACGACTTTTGGAGAGAAAAAATCGCACTGGCACCGGCACTAAGAGGGAAAACTTTCCGACTTCCTTTAAGTTATTTCCTGTCTCCATAGTGGAACAGGTCTTCGCCACCACGACCGCTATTTTCTGTGTTATGTAACCCCCCACGTCCTTGCTCTTATCCCCCGGTT